TCAGAAGCAGGACTTGAACCCAAGTCTTCCACACTCTAAGGCCAGCCATTATTTCCTTATTATGGCCATTTTACAGAGGAGAAAACTGAGACTTAGAGACATTAAATGACATGCCCAGTATCATGTAGCTAATGAGTACCTGGGGTAGAACTTGAAACCAAGTCTTCCTGGACTCAAAGTCCAATACCCTAGCAAATATGCAAAACTATATAATATACTTCATTGACTCTTTGCTTCTGTGTGGATGGGTGTGCTTAGGTTTGTCTGTTATGTCAAAACAAAATGTATCACTGTAAGAAAACTTGAAAAAAAATTCAGATATATTAAATATACTAGTAAAGGTGGTATGCACTTATGGAGGCAATATAGTACAGGAGGGAAAGTACTAGATTTATAATCAGATGGAAGACCTGGGTTGAATTCTTGGAGCTTCCACTTATTACTTGTGTAACCTTGGGCAAGTCACTTTCTTTGCCCAGGTCTCAGTTTCCTCCTCTGTAAAATGAGAGTGTTGGACTAAATGGCCTCTGAGGTCCCTGCCAGCTCTGGGGCTATGATCCCATGTGCCTATGTAAGTGGGCCACTGAAGGCTGGAATTGGAATCCCCCCCCCTTTCACTTGTGGCTGGTAAGAATTGTTGTTGGGATATCTAAGGGGCCTTGAAAGATTAAGAAGGCCAGAGGAAGAACAGAAAGGAGTGAGTTGGGCCTGTAAAAGGGGGGGAAATCGAAGAGCAGGGCTGCAAGGAAACAGTATGGAGGTGCCAAGATGGATGAGCCAGCATGCCCAGACTTGGGAGAGGCTTGAGATGAGGCCTCTGCCACAGGCCTGGAACCAAACCAATTATTTAAACAAGTGAGCAGGCAGCTACCAGTGCCAGGGCAAGGCTTTTTAATACTGAGTAAGATAAAATTTTGTTGGCTAACCTGGTACCCTAAGTTGCATTTAGTAGGCACTCAATAAATGTTTATTAAATGAATGGATGAAGAATGGTATTCCTTAAGTAACTGAAATGCCCTTACCTTATAGTTTAGTCATACTTACCCTGTGTATGTGGTGAAAGTTTAGCCAAACACCATCCCTGACGTTGTGGAGTTCACAGCGCAGTTGGGGAATAAGATACATAGCGACAAAATACTGTTACATAATTATGTGTATAAAAGAGCTGCTTATCATGTCCACATGATAACAAATGAGCTAGAAAATATAAAGTTCTTTGCAAAGTTCAAAGCACGATAGATTATTATTATTATTATTATATCTAGAGGTTTGGTTGGTAGAGACTTGTCCTCAGAGCCAGAAGGACATGAGTTCAAGTGCCGCCTCTGACATATCCTTATGGATACATTGAGTTGCAGTGGAGCTGGGTAGAAGATGAGAGGTATTGTGGTAGAGGTGGATGGGAACAAGAGACCAGGAGCCCAGAGTTGCAGTCTGTCTGTGAAAGAGAAATTTCCCCTACCAACTCCATAGTTGTTGTTGTTGGTGGTGCCTTAGAAAAGATATGAAATCAACCAGTGGTAGGGTCTAAAACTAAATGCTGTGGGATGGCACAAAATAACCCACCCCTTTCCACAAAGGCTTCCAAAAAGAATCGAGTCAAATTACCTTTTTGGTTGTTCAGTCACATCTGACTCTTTGTGACCCCATTTGGGGTTTTCTTGGCAAAGATACTGGAGTGGTTTGCCATTTCCTTCTCCAGCTCATTTTCCAGATGAGGAAACTGAGGCAGACAGGGTGAAGTGACTTGCCCAGAGTCACACAACTAGTAAGTGTCTGAGGCCAGATTTGAACTCTCTCCCTGACACAAGGTCCCAGCACTCTATCCACTGCAGCGCCACGTGGCAGCCACCACAGAATGGCAGAATTGTAAGGCACCTTAAAGACCATTTAGCCCTATTCCATATTAGAAAGGAAGAAGAAACTAGAATCATAGAATTTGAGTATTCAAACACCTTCAGCTCCTTGCTATTGCCTACTGGATAAGATACTGCCTGAAAAGGCTGTATGCAAAGCCTGCCACAATCTACTCCAATTTACCTTTCAGACTTATTTTTATATCACTGCTCTCCACATACTCTTCAGTTCCATCCAAATTAAACTACTTAACCATTGCCCCATATCAGTCCTATTCCTTGACCACCACCACCCTTCCCTGACATTAGCCTTGGTACATTTACCAGGTCCATTCCCAGTGCCTGGGGCAAATTCCGTCCCCCCTACCCCTTCCCTACCCCTACCTCAGCTGCCACCACCCTCCATGGAGTCTCCCCTTCACAAAGCTACAAGTGATCCCTCCTTCCTGTCTCTGACTTCACCTATGTGATCATCACATTTTAATTTGTATTGATTTGTGTACATTTATTATCCCAGAGATATTGTTAATTTTTATCCTCCATCTTTGTATCCTCAGAATGAAGCCCTATACATATTTGTCACTTGCTACAGACCATCTACCTTAATCCCTTCATTTGACAGGGGTGGAAACTGAGGCCCAGAGAGAAGTGACTTGCCTAAGGTCACACAGGTGGCATCAGAGGTGGGATTTGAACCCAGGTCCTCTGATTTAAAATCTAATGCTTGTTCCACTGCACCTTACTGCCCAAGTGAACCAAATCAAAATGGAAACAAGAAGGTGGAATACTGAGAGCTAGCATTTGTATGGCCCCCTGGGAAAAAAAAAAAAGAGTGAGGTAAACAAAGTCTTGGGAGCTCCCTTACATGCTGCATTGCAGACTCGCTTTTCTGCTTTCCCATCCAGAGCCATACCTAAAGTTGGGCCATGGGATGGGCAGTTTATCCAGCGTCCTCCCCTTTCAGCAGTTTAGAAGTCCCTTGTCATGTTGGGGTACGTATATTTTTCCTTCCCGCACCTAAGTAGCAGCCAGCCCTTCAGCAGTTTAGAAACCTAAGGGGTTCCAACCACATCACCTAGGGGAGTCCTACCCTCCATCGCCCTTGGCCCCAAGGGGAAAAATTGCCGGTTATGCTGTGTTTCCAGTTTTGGTGCTTGTAACCCGGCTTCAGACTCCTAATGCTTTCAGGCTGCCCCCTGTATGCCCTTTTCTTCTCCCCTCCCCCCATTCCTGCCCCCTATCCATTAAACAACCCTGGTTTGGGCTTTATCCCTCCAGGATACTGCTCTCCGCAGCCCAGTAATCTGATAAAGTAATCTGCACTGAAGTGTTAATCGGTGCTAATAGGTTAATGTGTCATCCCCTCCCAGGTAAAGTGCTCTTTTGAGGGAGGTTTTCTTAATGAGTGTATTTGGAGCTCGCCAGCCCCTGCCAATGAGTGTGTGAGTCGGTGCGTGTGTGTGTGTGTGTGTGTGTGTGTGTGTGTGTGTGTGTGTGTGGAGGGGGGGTAGCAGGGATGGAGAGATTGGGGGCAGGGTCCCTCGGCCCCTCTGCAGGCCTGGCTATAGCTTTGCTAGAACTGCTTGTGCTTTTATGATGGTCTGCAAAGTCTCGGCAATGCAGGAGCTGAGTGACACAGCTTTGGTTTGCATTGCCCTTCAAAGTGGAATCAAAGAAAGTGCTCCATTCTCTGCCCCGCCCCCCCCACCTTACTCCCTCGACCGTTGTATTGGAGAGGCATTGGCAGAACCACTCCCCTGTCCCCTCCAGAAGAAGGCAGAGTCTCCTTCCAAACATCTCCTGACCTCCAGGGCTGCTGTCCCCTGCACAATGGCAGCCAGCTATGCTGTACGCTCTATAAACAAAAATGGCTTATTGACAATTTTTAACAACATTTCCGTCCTTTCCCAATGATTACCCTCACGTACACCTCTGCCCTCAACAGTATCCTCTCTTGTAACAAAACAGCGCAGCTTAAGCAAAACAGACTGATCAAAACATTGGCCGTGTCTGACAATGCCTGCTTCGTTCTATACCTATAGTCCACCGCCTCTGTCCAGAGATGAGAGGCTTACATCACCAACAGTCCTCAGAAGTCATGATGGGTTACTGAAAAAACCAGAATCATGAAGCCTTTCAGCATTGATTCATTTCAGCATTGATTGTAGTCACTATGGACATCATTCTCCTGTTTCTACTTATCTAACTGCATTGGTTCATTCAAGTCTTCCCAAATTTCTCAGAAATTCTTCATATTTATCATTTCTTACAGAAAAATAATATTCATTCCACTCCATCCAGCTGTCACAATTTGTTCAGTAATGAATCAGCTGATGGACACTCACTTTCCTTCCAGTTCTTTGCGCGCTCTCTCTCTCTCTCTCTCTCTCTCTCTCTCTCTCTCTCTCACTCACTCATTCACTCACACACACACACACACACACACACACAGTTCTGCTACAAATATTTCTGTATATATGGAACTTTTGACCTCCTCACAGTAGTATCACTCAGTCAAAGAGTATATACAGTTTAGTGACTTTTCTAATACAATTTGAAATTATTTCCTGGAATGGCTGGACCAACTCATAACTCTACCAACAGGGTGTTAGCGTGCCTGTCTTCCCACAGTCCCTCCAGCATTTACCATTGTCATCTTTTGTCACCTTCAATAGACTGGTGGGTATAGGGTGGAAACTGAGTCATTTTAATTTTCATTGCTCCTATTATTTTATTATGCCTATCTTCCTTGAAAACTGCCTGTTCACATCCTCTGATCATTTACCTGTTAGGGAATGTATGCCACACACTCTTTAAAAACAACTAAACATTTTATTGGTGCCTTTTATCTTAATGTTATAGTCTTTTTATAAAAAGAAGTCTCTCTTTCTCCTGAGATCAAACCCTCTCTTTTAACAAAGAAAAAGAATTCGGCAAAAATACCTGATGAAGTGACTGTGTCTGACAATGTATGCAATATTCTTCCCTAGTAGTTCCTCATCTCTCTGATGTGAAGAGGGATGTGTGTTTCATTATTTGTTATATGGGACCATCATTGATTGCTTGATTACTCAGGGTTCAGCTTTGGCTTGGTGATCTTTTCATTTTCACTGCTGTATTACATATATTGTTCTTTCAGCCATTCCTTAATTGATGGACACCCATTTCATTTCCAGTTCTTTGCTACCACAAAGAATGCTGCTATCAATATTGTGGTAAGTATTGGACTTTTGCTTTGGTAATTGACTACCTTAGGATATATGCCTCATTATGGGATCACTGGGGCCAAAGGTTTGCTATTCACTTTTAATGTATTTTGAAGAGCTTACTTTTCTCTAGCACTTTATGGTTTGCAAAGTACTTTCTTCCCAAGAACCCAGTGAGTTATATAGCGTAAGACTTAATCTTCCCATTTTACAGAGGAGGAAACGGGGTCTCTGAGAAATGAAACAATTTACCCATGGTCACACAAGTAGGTTTATAGGATTTAGAACTGGAAGGAACCTTAAAGGTCATTTAGTTTGACCCTCTCATTTTACAAATGAGAAAACAAGGTCCCCACAGGCTAAGTGACTTGCCCAAGGTCATATAGGTAGTGAAGAGAAGAGTTGGGATTCAAACCTAGGTCCTCTATCTGCCACTATCTGCCATTCCAGTGCTTCTCCCAGTATAATACCCCTCCCAAGAAAAACACAATAACAGCATGCTATGGCCGTGCCCTTTTTCAACTGTGCCCCTTCCCTGCAGGTCAGAGTATGCATTGGTATGGTATCCTGGCAAAGCACCAGCCTAAGGTAACAAAGGATTGATGGCTGCATCTTTTCTGATATGGAATGCTGTAAGAGGTTGCTAAGAGGGTCCCTGATCTTAATCTGCCCCCTTGAAATTCTCTAATTCAGTTGAAAACATATTTGTTAAGTGCCTACTATGTGTGAGGTAATGAGATTCAAGGATACGAAGAGAACAATATCTATCCTTGAGGAGCTTACATTGTACTGGGGGCTCAGGATACAATCTCTATAATAAGTAAATACACGCCAATCATCCATTGGGTTTGTGACCTGAGTAAGAACAGGAGGATGCAAGATCGTTGAGGGCAGGGGCCGTTTTTATTGTTGTTTTTCTATCTACAGCACCATGTACCAGATGGAACACCATAGTAAGCCTTAAGCATTGCTTGTTGGATTGAATTAGTATGGGCATTCCTTCCAGTGACACAGATAACAACCAACTGATGTCTGCCCATCCTGAGCAACCCTCATCCACATTTCCCCATATATTTGTCTCAGGAGAGGGAGGGGAATTCACCATGTGAGTGGGCTTCCTGTTATTTTCCTATATATTGCAGGGATACCAATGGACCACGTGGGATGTCTACTAGCTGTCCCTCTCTAGTGCTATTTGCCTAACCAATCCTTTTTTTTTTCGGGGGAGGGGAAGGTTTGTACATTGCTCTGATGACGTCTTTCACACTAATTCTGCATAATTCCTCATCTGTAATGTTTGCAACCTGCTCATGTGCACCATGTGAGGGGCAGCTTGGTGCAGCACATAGAGCACTGGCCTTGGAGTTGGGAAGGCTGGATCCAAATTCATACTCTTACTAGCTGTGTGACCCTGGGCAAGTCACTTAAACTCTGTGTGCTACAGTCTCCTCAGTTGTAAAGCAGGGCTAGAAATAGCACCTCACTCACCAGGTTGTTGTGAGGATTAAATGAGATAATGCACATATAAAGCGTGTATCAGTCTTTGAATGCTATTTAAATGGTAACTCCCAGTATTATGATTTGTCTCTTTGTTGACCTTTCAGTGATCTATAATTCCAGTTCTTCAGGACCTGTTGTATGCTATGCCTCACATTTCTATAACATCACCATCATAATATGGGTGTTAAAAAGATAGGCCTTTGTGTCAGGGAGAAGATTGGGGTCATTAAAAGAACTCTGCAATTTCCCCAAACCAATCCAAATACACATAGTATGAAGAAAATTGAGGCGACAGAGTGCAAACAACCTTGTGGAGGGGGGAGCAAGAGAGGTTTCACAGGAAGGGGTGGTATCTAACAAGAGTCTTGAAGAAAGACAGGATTTCTTCATGGTGAGGGTGAGGAAAGGGGACATCCAAATATGGGGAACAACTTTCATAAAACATGGGAGGGGAAAACAGGATGCCCAGTTTGGGGAATGGCTGGTCTAGTTTGACCAGAAAACTGAATTTGTGAAAGGGAGTTATTATGAAATGTCTGAAAATGATGGGAAGAGTCAGATTATGAAGAGCTCTAAATGCCAGACTGAGGGAGCATTTTATCCTCCAGGTAGGCAATAGGGAAGAAAGATTATTAGTCTTGTTCTGTTGAGCCTCAAAGGGAGAAACTAGAAGAGTGGAAATTGTAAAGAGGTAATGTTAGACTTGATAGAGGGAAACATGTGCTAACCATTAGCACTATCCCAAAGTGAATGGGCTGCCTCACAAAAAGCAATAGGTTCCCCTTTCCTGACATTCTTCTCATGAAGATTGGATGACCACTTAATTGGGTATTTTATACAGTGGATTCTCATTCAGGTATAGGATGGCCTCTGAGGTCCCTTGCAACTTTGAAGGTTCTGTATAATTCTGTGAGGGGAATGAACATAGAAACAATGGAGTGTTTGAACAACGTCAGGATGGGTGAGAAGGAGTCCATTGCCAGCATCACGGATAGCATAAGCAAAGGCATGGAGGTGGGAAAGAAGGGAAGATGAGAACCAGGCCAGAGGGCAGTCTAGCGTGATTGGATTGTAGAGTGGACCAAGGGCAGTGACATGAGATAAGGCTAGACAGGTGAGACACAAGGGAGGCAGCTCAAGGAGAGTCCTGAAGGCCAGGATCAGAAGTTTATAGAATGATAGGCTCCTAGCTAGAATGCTCCTCAGAGGTCAGTTAGTCCAACCTCCTCATTTCACAAAGGAAACTGAGGAGCATGGAGGCAAAGTGACTTCAGGTCATAAGGTCATAGATATAAAGCTGGAAGGGACCTCAGAGGCCCTCTGGTCCAATTCCTTCATTTTACAGAGGAGGAAACTGAGGCCGAGGGAGGGAAAGGGACTTAAGGTCCATAGGTCTAGAGTTGGAAGGGAGCTCAGAAGTCGCTTATTCCAACCCTCTGATTTTACAGAGGGCCCAAGGTCACACAGGGAGTAAACATGAAAGGTGGGATTTGAAAGCAGGTCTTCCGGTCCTAGAGTTGGGGCTCTTAATTTGCTGAAGATTTTCCAGTTGAGGAACTGTCAGTAGAGTTGAATTAGGATGATTACTTGGACATTGATTACTTGGACAAAGATGGATTAGGGCCCAGACAGGCTGGAGGCAGAATGGCCAATTTAGAAGACTATTGTAGTGGTCTAAGAAACAGTAACTACAAGTAGGGCAATTGTAGTTGGTGTGGAAAGAAGGTAGCAGATGTGAGAGATATTGTCCAGGCAGAATAAATGGGACTTGGCAACTGGTGGAACAGGAGGGACTATGGGAAAGAGAATGGTCAAAGAGGACTCCAGAGTTCCTAGCCTGAGTGATGTGTAGGAAGACAGTGGTATGCTTGGAAACTGATAGGGGAAAAGTTTGGGGGGAAGGTGAAAAGCTCTGTTTTGGACATGTGGAGTTTAAGGTCCTGGTGAGGTAGCCAAATCCTCCTACAGGAGAAGTTAAGGGCCTTGAGAGATGGCTCTCCTCTCTCTGGGTTATCAGAGAGAACAAAATGTTCCTTAATGTGAAAAGAAAGAAAATAACAGAATCTGAAGAGACAGAGGGGACTCCTTATCCAGGCCAGGAAAGTGCAGAGGAGGAAGGGAAGAAGCAGAACCACTGAACATTTGCAGTCAGGTATGACATAGGAAGCTACATCTTCTGAGAAGGAAGCACTTAGATTGCCTTGTAGGGGATCCATAGGCTCTGTCAGGTGAGAAGTCATCCAGGAAGGGTTGGAGGAAGGAGATTTCCAGCTGAAGGGTACCAAGGCAGCTATTTGTAGATCCAATGATAGTACCTGAGAGGTTTTTCTGTCTTCTCAAGACCTGTCAAATCTATAATGACTGCTAATTTCTGACATTTGAGGTGAACACAGATGATACCACTGGGAGGAATCTTGGGCAAACACTTGGAGATCTTTAGAGCCCAAACTTCACAGAGGAAAAGCAGATTTGGCAAGTGAACAGTTAGTGATGAAGAGGGCGTCTGGCCAATGTGTGAACACGTTGCCTGACTATATTATTTGTTATGAGAGGGCTTTTATTTGGGAAGGGGGAAGAATACTGGGAGGTGGCGTGGATAGTAGTGATGATGTTTCCCATAAAAGAACAAAAGAAAGAAGACTGCCAACTAAACATTTTAAAATTACACAGAAGAGAACAGAAGGAAGTCCAGAAAGGAATGAAGAATAACAGGGCAGTGTTAGTACTACCATGTTAAATTTAATAAATACTTAAAGCTATGTGCATTAGAGACTCACAGCTTCATATATAATCCTCTTGTTCTTTCTTTGTGAAATCGTTCATGTTTGTTGATGTTTGTCAAGTTCATTATATTAAAAAAAGGGAAAAAGGGACTGGGTTTTGGACTTCTGGACTTTGGCTTAAAATACAAGAATGATAAGCTCCTAGTCAGGGATGGGCTGCTAAAAATGATTTGCCTGGAATTTTGAAATCTAATACAAAAGATTCAGACTCTGGAGAAAAGGGGAGGAAGAGAGCAACCTACAATTATCCTCCAATCTAGACACCACAGAGAGTAGCTACAGTGTAGGAAGAATTTATCATTGACAAAGTCTGAGAAAGGAACCAACGGTAAATCCCGTGGCCTCAGATATATGGACACAAACATGAAGAACAAAATATAATGAGCAAGGTGAACTTGAAGTCTCAATACAAAGAGAAAGATTTGATATCCAAGGAGTCACTGAAACATGATAGGATGGGACCCATGACTGGAGCATGGCTATGGAAATGTATGCCTTATTAAAAAATATAGGCAAGGCAATGGGGGAAATGTCAGAGTGGAATGGCACTGTATATTTCAGAGATAAATTCATGTGAGGAAGTCCAGGAAGGAGAAGTAGGGCGCATGTTGGGAGACAAAAGGGATAGAAACAGAAGTGATACCACCATTGGAGTGTACTATAGACCCCCTGGACAGAAAGAAGTAATAGATGAGGAGTTTGGTAAACACATCACAAGTCTAGCAT